GCTCGCGCGCGAGAATCGAACTTGCACCAGACCACCACGAGATCGATCCCATTCTCACCCTCTGTTCCGCTCATCTGCAGCAAGCGCTACACGATACGGCGTTTTGCCCTTGCTGAAATGCATATGAGCGGTAATCGATATCGCATTGTCACATTGCCACCTTCTGAGTGACGGGCGCCACTCTCTACTGCCCAACTCGTAGTGAAAGCGATCTTTGCAGGGCAGACTAGCTTAAAGAGTGCAGGTGCCCAGCAGACTTCGTCTTCGAGCGACATGAGAATAAGGTCCTCAATCTGGTAAGGTTCATTCTCTCTTATTCTTCATATGTTCGATGCGCATCCGGCGGACATGCACGAGGCAAATAAGGGTACTGAGTGGGCGCTCAATTCACAGCAAGGCGATACAGCCGAGGGCGAGGTGTACACCTATCCTGCATCTGCGGCCGGAGCAATCTTCGTTCTCAGTGTAGAAATTCGCCGAGAAGATCGTGAAATGCGCTACCCGACTTGCTTCTGCCAGCCCTCCACGGACACAGGTCCTAGTATCTGCGGATGTAGACGGGGCTGTACGCCTTATCACGTATAAGAAACGTGCGGAAATCTCACTCCACTGCATCCCTTTCCGCCATGCCTCTTCCCCCACATCAGGTCTACTCTGAGGAACTCGGGGGTGCCTTCAGACGAGGCCATCCTATCGCCGACCCTCATCCTGGCATCAGAGATGGGGTGCTCATGCGCCCTGTTAGCATCGGGGACGTCGGATACATTCAGTGAGCCTTTTCGACACGGGCATAGTATGGATATCGCTTACTGACGATGCTTTCTAGTCCTACCGGTGGTGATTTCATCCGACTATTCAACGTACATCTTGAGCCCGGAGTCGATGGCCAGCCTGATATCGACAGTCTCCCCGACGACTTTCACCTACCCGTCCGAGACATCAGGGTCAAACCAAATAACACGACTGTGTGGGTGTCGAAGAACGTGACGCGAAAAGGAGCAAGCGCTGAAGTCTCAGGGTACGTTAACCAGAAATACCGCAGAATAAAGGACACTCATGCATCTTGTAGTCCTTTTTTCGGCGGATCAGCGAAGTTCGAATCCAGCAGTGAGCGCGGCGCCATTCTTGCCACCCCCGATCCTATAGACTGCTCCGACGCGCTCCACATCCTCAGTTATAAGTTGCACGCAGAACGCAATTTCAAGCGCTGGGTTCAATATGCGCGGGATAACGGGCATGATATCGTGCTTGATGACTTGATACTGGTCACCGGTGTCGATCACACCACCTCTTGGGCGACTGCGGTCTTCACTGATACTAGGCTGGAGGCCGGCTTCGGTTTGAACGTCCAGTTTGCCAACGCAGGAGCTGGTGTACAATTGGCTTGCGACTACTCCTGGCAAAGCACGTCCAGCGCTCTCGTCAATTCGGGCCCCACTCCTATGCGTCTGAATGTACCATCAGGCGTTCTGGGACCGAGTGCTTCCGCAATCAACTCGACACTGCCCGAGACCGCAACCTCCGACAACACCGAGCGCCGACCCATCAACACGGTTTGCAACCAGTCACTCTTCATACGACATCTTCGAGCAAAGAGCCGCCCACCTTGGCTTGGGATTCGTATCGAAGCAAATGGTCGAAAGCAGAGAGACGATCGTAACGAGGATGACGATGGCCCTAGTGGCGGCGACATCTCCAGTCCCGATAGCATGGTGATCACGAGCTCTCCGGAGCGACGTGCGGTATGTCAACACGTTCTTGAAACACAAGCTACATGATGAATAACCGCTTCATCCAGTTCGTGAACTATCTAAACCCAGTCCTTGATCACATTCTCGATGTATGTTTATGGGCCGCTCCTCATGAACACGGCACTATGCCTGATAGGTATTTCAACAGCATTCGGATGCAGATTTTGCCCTCGCGCACGATGAAGATCTAGCTTTACTACCTGCTTCCGATTCAGCAGAGTGTGTCGTCGTGGTCCGCAACGGCGTTGGTAAGTCTGGCAATACTCTTCTCTGAGCATTGTCTCATCGCCGCCTGTGTCTTCAAGGCACGATACAGAAAGCCCCAACCCCTGTATCCGGTTCGGCGATGGAGGTCGATGAAATCATGGTAGAAAGCCTCACTCGTCCCGCATCAAGGGCAAGCTCAGCGCAAGATACCCTCGTCGATGAGCCAGTGGAAGGAGGAGAGCCAGGGAATGATGTGAGCTTCGTGCTCAGTTTGTGTCCTTCAGCTCATCTGATATTTACTGGGAGTCTCGTTCAACATGGATATCTTCTAAAGAAGACATAGACTGGAGAGTCCGCGGTGTGTATCATCTGATCCTGCCCGATAAGACAACAGATTCGCGGCTGACCAGCCACCACAGTTCTTGACAAGATCACAGAGTCGAAGACCATCGGAGGCTCTGGATTAGATCAATCTAAGAGTGAGGACACCACTAACACACAAGAGAACGCCTGGAACTTGGGCCAGAATAATGCGCCAATGGGTCAGACACCCCGTCAACGCCGCCGCAGTGCGGCGCTGTCGTGTGCCGAGTGCAGGCGGTGAGTGCTTATAGGAACCTGCCTATCGTGGGCGAATAGGTCGCTGATCTAGGGTCATTGTCAGGCTGAAGCTCAGGTCGGCCATCGTTAGCTCCCCCTGCGTTTATCGGTTGATCTGAATAGTGTTGTGCACCGCATATTTCAGGTGCAGCCGCGTGTTTCCGTGTAACAGCTGCGTCAAGAAAGGCTGCGCTCACATTTGCCCGAACGGTGCGTGATGCACAGTCTAAAGCTGCGCTGGCATCCATTGGGCTGACTTCCCAACGTAGGATCACTTACTACTGGACAGGGCAACAGGTATGGACTAGCAATCATATAGATGTAGGCTTTTCTGACCCACTAGCAGATTCATCTTGGCGAATTCAGAAGTCCTGCACGATAAAATCCACGAACTTGCGGCGCGCGTACGACAGCTGGAGGATGCGCTTCGCGAAAGCCACTCATACGTCTCGAAGGACCGACATCCACTCCTGACTGACGAGCTCCTGCAGATTAAAAGACCCCTAGAACATGGAACTAGAGACGAGGTACCGTCAGCAAGCTCCGATACCCTCGAAGTCATACCAGAGTCTGGTGAAGAGGCGGAGGACACTTTAGATGCAGTTGGGTCACTGTAAGTTTGATGTCGCTGTCTTTGTCAACATATATGTAGCGCTGATCCGCGTTCCTGATGCAGTGTCATCTCCGACGATGGCAAGGCTAATTTCTTTGGCACTACGGCCAACGCTTGGGTGAGTTTTAGCGGACCTTTCCTGCAAATCACACGTCGCTGACCGCCTCTAACTCTAGTACTACCTTCAAGTATGTAACTCTCTGTACCTTTACTACGTCATAGTAACATCTGGTACCTCCCTGTGCAGAATGAAGGCGGCGATGAAGACGCGACTAACGCGTCGGACAACCAACCATGGCTTAGTCGCACGTTCCCTTTTGCGCTCACTGTCAGTGAGACCGTAGACCAGATTCGCGCAGAACTGTGGAACAATCTCCCCGGCGAAGACGACGCACGGCAACTCGTCGAGAACTATTACCTGTTAGCTGGCTGGATGTGCGTGCCCTTCCTGTACCCCGGTGTCCTCCCGATCCTTCCGCGTTCGTGGCTCACTTCCGCGCTTTGCGCTCCTACAGGTACCGTCCTGTCGAGCCGGACGATCTTTGGGTGAACGTCTTCAACCCTGTATACCGAATGACGTCAGACGATGTCTACGACGCAGAACAGTCGCACCGTATCGCGGTCTTGTACCTCATGTTTGCGCTCGCAGAGCTGCTCAACCTTGAACGCACACCGTACTCGAAGGAAGCAGACTTTTATTACAAGCTCGCCCGCACAGCGCTGGCCGTAGACTCGGTTCTTGAAGAACAGAGCGTCCAGGCGATTCAAGCTCTGGCAAGTCGCTATCGTGCTTCCTCGATATGATGAGGACAGAGATAGCTTATCCTCCTTGGCCACATTGCAGGTGCTCATGTGCCATTACATGTTCTTCGCGGAGATACACGGGCCACGATGGACTCTCATGGGCCTGGTTGTGAAGCTCGCACAATCCGTAAGTTCCGTGGTCGTCGGAAAGAAGGATATCAGGCTGACAAAATGGCTTTCCTTCCTCGCAGATGGGTCTTCGTGCGTGCTGTGGTTGTGATCATACCCGCTATTGGGAACTCATTCTTGTCTAGATCGGGACAGTTTGAGGTGGAAGATGGGCGAAGACGAGGCGAAGAAGCGGCGAGCGCTCCTCTGGTTCGGCTTCGACTTCGCTTTAAGCGTCACATCTGAGCTGACTTGAATAATCAGGGAGGTGGTCTCGTACGACTCCTGGCAGGTTCGTGATAGACTGCTTGTACCTCTTGTTGTGTCTGAGTGCATCACAGAGCTTGACCTATGGGAGGCCGCCGTCCATGTCGATGGTCCATGTCGACTCCCAGTTCCCCGAAGCGCCGTTCAAGAACGAGCGCGGAGAGACGGACATGTCGTGTACATCTTCGCTATCTCGATTGATGTCTTAGCAGATACTGATCATCCGCTGCAGTTGACATGTGGAAACACCGGTTCGTCGAGAACGTACAGACCCAGGTGCACGATCTGGTGTTTTGCGCGAAGCCGGCGAGCTACAAGGTTGTTCTGGAGCTCGATAACAAAGTCCGCAAGTTCCCCTTTCCTCCGACGCTCCAGATTGCGGGTTTCGGTGGGCAGCACGTCGATAAGGAGCCACCTCCGGTCACTCGTGTCATGCAACGATACATTGCCCATGTCTTTTGGGAAATGAGTACGTCTGGTACCTTCAAATCCAGAATAACGTCAAACTGAGAGTCGATATCTCAGCCATCTTTTACATGCACCGCGGCTTTTTCGCTCGTGCGATCGAAGACTCTACGAAAGATCCAATCAGCCACAAGTACTCGCAGTCTGTTCTAGCGGCAACCACGAGTGCCTGCACGTTTGTCTCGTTAATTGAGAGCCTTTTTTCTCAATATCCTCGCATTACGGAGCGCATGTGGTTCTTGTTCACACATGTATTCTCCTGCGCTGTACGTGGAATCGGTTTTCCAGTACAGCCCTCCCAGCTGACACTTGAATGTCCTTTCTTAGGTCGTACTTGGATCGGTCGCCATTAAGTGCCCGCAGCACTTCCTTGCCCGCAACGCGCTCGTGCATCTTGACAAGGCCATTGCCATGTACGAGCACGTGCTGACCCCGAACGCTGCGAAGGTGCTTCCTGTATTGCGCAAGCTGCGAGAGCGCGCGGTCGAGGCAAAAGGTTCACCTTTGCGTTACACCATTGGTCACAATGAAGACAGCGAACGCCAGGACGAAGAACTCGCGGTCCTAGGTGGCAAGACCCGCTTAATATCGCGAAGCAAGATTGGCCCTACCTTGACTTCGCCTGCCGCCATCACACCCTCCTCACAGACAGTATCACCGTCGGGACAGGGCTCCACCGCATACTCGCTCCGGAGCGCACCAGGATACTATGTGCCTCAGAGTGCCTCGGCATCGCCCGATCACCAGCAGCGCGACTCTCAGCCTCGACAGCTCCCTCAGCAGGTCGGGTCGCAGCCGATGGCTTGGAAGAGCGGATATGAGCAAAATGCTTCATCTGATCAGATGCAGTATGGGCTTTCGAGCATATACGACCAGACCACAGCCGGTATCCCGCAGATTAACGGCCAGCCTTTTGTCACACCTGGAGGCTCACGGCAGCATTCCGATCACAACTACGGCAGCTTCCCGCAACAGCTTGAACAGGGCCAGGTGTTTGATGGCCAGGACCAGGACTACGAAGCACATGCGGCTCTCGCGTCCGGGTCGTACTTCACGAGTCCTGCAACAGCTTCTGAACCAGATTCTCATTGGAGAGCGTTATATAGCCAGTGGGCGCCGGAGTGAGATGTGGAAGAATTGACGTTCAGGATCATGATACCACACTCGAGCCATATCCTGATTTGAGATGACATCTTAGATCTACTCACATGCTTACGAGATGTCGATGCCTCCCACTAGTGACCGCGGCCCTGGTATACCCTTGTTGTATTATATATCGTCGCCTGTTACGGCGAAGGAGCTTTGAATTCGCCCATTCGACTTGCCTCTCTTGTACATGATTTCATAACATCATGGGTGTGAGCGTGTGAATAGCTCGTGCAACCCTATGGAATGTAGCCTGCCAGAGGTTTCAGGGAGGACCTCATGAACGTTGAACGCCGGTGGCGAGTTGGCTTCAAGTTCCAACTTCAGCAAGTACCAGATTAGATTAGATCATGATCGGATCACCATCCGATTCCGATCGATTGAGTTGCCTCACCACGTCGCGCTCCTCCTGTTCTTGCCTCTGACCTTCATCTTCCTTGATCGGCGAAGCAATACAATCCCTGTGGGCAAAGTTGACGTGCTGACCGACGCTACCTGTGGTACGCGCTTGTAGGCGCGATGCAGCACTTGTTTTCCATAATATCACGACGTCCTGCCCAGTCCGCCGTCGCGCCGACCCCGCACTGTGCATTTATGCGCAGTGGCCTCATCCGCCGCTCCAGGCCTCGATGCTCCGTACATGCTTATTCAAATTCAATGTACTCAAACGGCCTCAGAAGGCCCCTTGGCGCTCCACCTCGGGCTCGTCCTTTCACTCGATGCCTAGCCCCAGCCAGAGGCGTCCTGGGCAGACGTACTTACGAAGGGTCAGGTATAAAGACCAAGCCTTTCGCCGTGAACCGCGAAGAAGGACCCCTCGCTTCATGTGATGCGCGTCCGAGGCTCCTCTCTTTCCACGTCGGCCGCAACCTGAGGCCTGAGGTTCGACTTGCGTGCTCCTCCCATCCGGAATTCTCAGCGACACTCTGATGGCAGAGGTTCATCCTCCCCGGCCAGTCGAGCCAATAATGGTGACAGTACGCTCATGCATCTGACTATAGCCGGATGCACGAGATGGCTCTCGATATCCTTGTGTTCCGACTCGCGCACTACCCGGCGACGCTCGTCTAACTGCTATGCACAGCTTTGGCCGCCATTCTCACGGGCTCAACAAACTCGATGCTGAGCCGCAGAACATGTATACACGCTCACTGGGAAGTTGAAAAGCCCGATGACCAAGACGCTCCCTTGTCACCGACGCCTTGTGTCTGTTCGCAGACCAAGCCGCAGAGCTCAGGAGAACGCGCATTCCCTCTGGCGCTGTGCCCTGATGAAAAGTCTGTCCACCAACCTCTATCGGCCCGAGCTCATTGTATCGGTCATTTTCTGGCCGGGATGCCGAACCCGACGGCTTGACGCTGTCCGAGTAGGCGTAGGAAACTAACACGGACCTGACCGACGGCCCTGTATACCGGAGCTTCGCATTCAAGCTATACATTGTACTCTCGAGCAACATGAACGGTGCGCAGTCGCATTTCCCTGAGCACTGTAGCGCCACTAAAGCATGCAGGGTAGCATGCGCTGCTTCTCGACCTTACGGCCAGGACTGGACCTCCCGTTGAACCCGAAGATTGCGCCCAGGTGGCGACTTTGTTCCATCTGGAGAAGTCTGGAGGGGGTGAGGTGGAAGAACGTCGACCAAGATGGACTTGATCTCTGATGGCGGCAAGCCCGGATGGTTTACATCTGGACTCGGTCAAGTTGGTCGCTGCAACACGAGGCTGCGACGCTGGATACGTGTGGCCCTGCGCGACTGGAGGTAACGGACTTGATGTTGAACACCGCCACCGTGCCTCGCTGTTCACGGCAATACCATAAACGGACATAAGCGCGCTTGAACGCGTCTGGAGTTGTCTGTTTGCATGGTTTCACGCTCGATCCTGACCCACACCATTCCCCAAGTACGTCTGACATGTCACTATTCTCGACCCTATTCCAATACTTAGAAACCGGTGTAGAGCTGAGAACAGCAATTGAGGCCGGCCAGACGACCGACCGAGCCTATATCGGTTTGATGTGATGGCGCGGGTGCGGCCCTTGTTCGAAGTGTTCCATCACCGACGGCCCTCGGCGATGCTGCGTTGCCCTCATCGTGCTGTTACAAGAACCACCATCGACTCTTGCGGCCGGACCGCGCTTCTTGCTCCCTTCGCCCTTCTTTCTCTTCTTTCTCTCTAGCCTCTCGTTCTTTGCCTTTGCTCTATCTATTATCTACCTTCTTTTTGCGCTTCTCCGCTGTTGTCATACTTGGTACTCTACGCGCTAGACTCTCGACTTCCGAACTCTGGTCTACTGTGAACACATCCTTGGCTCGACAAGTGACAGTTACTACTACCACGCACGATGCTCTCGCAAGACTACTCTAACCTCTTCTCGTCCGGCCTCCGCACTCTCGCCCGGCGCGTTCGTCGCGCCTCGCAGTCGCACTTCACCCCTCCCACTCCCTCTACGCCAGGCCAACTTACCGGTCTGGTCACGCCCATCACACCCGCGCCGGGTATCTCATACATCAATTTCAACGAGCCCGAGACGCCCGTACTCGCCCCTGCGCCGCCGCCACCTACGCTGAACCCCGCGCCACCCGCCGGAGGAATCAGGAAGGCGTTGAGGCGGATGAGCACCCAGACCTTCGGGGCTGCGGTGAAGGAGAGTCTCAAGGAGAAGCACGCGACGATGCCTGCGCCACCTATGCCGCAGATCGTACGCTCGGACCAGATGTTTGCGGGTTTCAAGAGCAGAGAGGATCTGCAGTTGGAGAAGAAGGCGTCCGAGCCTGCATTGAAGCCGAAGACCCGCGTGGAGAAGCGCGTGAGCTTCTATGATCCTTTCGCGCGGTACGTTCATCTATACATACACACCAAAGACGAGAAGCTGATATGGAAATCATAGCGATGATGCGAGTAGTGATACTTCGAGCAGCGGTGGGAGCGCAGTTACCCGAGCCCCGCCGCTCGCGCCACGCCGTAAACCTATTCACCTCACTATTCGCACATCGTACGCTGCGCCGCGCCCTCTTCCCGCTACGCCGCCGCTGCCCACCGCCCCCCCGGTTCCAGCAAAGTCGGCGATGAAGCACTACTCGCAGCCGCATCCCGTCACGCGCGTGCAAGCTCGCAAGCCTGTACAGCGTATGACAATGAGCGAAGGTCGGCCTGCCCAACGTACGAGCCAACATCGGATTCAACGCCCGGAGTTGCAGCAGCGCGCTCAGGCGTATCAGGCCGCCTATGCGGCACCTCCTTCGCCAAACAACTTCCTGTTGTTCTCGGCTACCAGCGTCGAGTTCCCGACGCGGGCGCCACCGGCCACGATCGTCAGCCCGTATGCACGCCCTAGTCGTGTACCTAGCCACATCAAGGGGCCATCGCACAGCTCATTCACATTACCGGGCTACGAGAAGACCCCGATGAGCTTGCACCCGTATGCCGCAGTCTCACGCGCATTGCCGGATACACCAGGGAGTGCGACGTCGGGTGACTGGCGCGGCTGGCACGAGGAGCGTGGGGGATGGCTCATCCACGCCTGAGCCCTCCGACATGACATTTCCCCCCTTTTCGAAAGATTTTGACTTCATCTCTGCAACGTCCTGTACCGGATAACATCTCATTCTCCTCACCACTTTTTGCACACACACATCACTACCCCCCAACGCTACGATTTCGCTGTGCTATACTCTAGGTTTTGCTGTACATTCGCACTTGATGCTTCTAATGAGGTCCGCGGCCCTGTTGTTTATTATTATGTTCAACTTCTGCTCTCAATCTGTGTGTGCCCTTGTTGTGTCCATATTGCTGTCGATGTATGTTTGACTTCCTTCTCTTTTGACGAAGACGTCAAGAGCCCGCGTGCGCGAAGATATCTGATATCACGCCTTCCTCAGCGC